ATGGAAAATTTTTTATGTAGCTCAGGATGGACGCTGAAGATTTCAAGCTCAAACTCTCTTCCAAATAATCTTTCTGGTTTGAATGCATCTTTATGAATAAACAGATGCTGTGCACAGAAAGAGATTTCATCTTTAATTCTTGGCCTGCTTCCATTTTCACGATTGTCCACATGGTTTGGGAAACTTGGCGTAATAGTTGTCTGGGGCTGGGATGTGTATTGGGGGAACGAAATTACTCATGAATAGTTTTTAAAAATTGCTGTCTAAATCCGTATCCCATCATTTAGTTAATGGCCTTTATGATAAGGAAAAACTAATTATTTGTAGGGTAAAGCATTTTATCCTACCAGTGTAGGATGTGATGTTCGTATTTAACTTTTGTTCTAGTGATATTGCCTGACATCCAGATAACTAACCAGGAGGTTAATGCTCACTGTTTTGTTGCTTTTGAGGGCGTTTTAATTATAGGAATTTATTTGAATCATCAGTTTTACTGTTAGAGCCAAATCATTCTCATAGGCTTATGGGAATATATGCCACCAGGCAGTGGATTAATAACTATAAAAAAACCACATGAAAACGTCAGTGTGAAACTCAGATCAAAACCAGTGGTTTCCTGGATTTTGCAGTCTACCAGCTTTTAAGAAGCTTCTCCACAGTAACATGATCTTTATGGCATCACCACTGAGCTCGAGACACGTGTGATGATCAAGACAGCTCCGAAGTGCACCCCACTGGCCCTCACCCAGCGAGGAAGGGACTGGTCGGCATGCAACCATTTTAACAGAGGAGGCCTCCTTCAAAGATGGCAGAAAAACAGGATAGTGAAGGAGATGCTTTTGTTTTCCAGAAAGACTGGAAAAACAGACCGGCGTGGAGCCGGGACCACAGGACTTGGGCGGGCTGTTTATGGAGACCCACAACAAAAAGGAATTCTCTTTGCTGGTGAATTTTTCTGGCCTGCACTGTCATTCCTGCAGCCTTTCAATTATTCTCTCCAACCAGCCAACCACCCCCCTGATCGGAGGCCCCACCGACCCCCATCTTCTTACTTTAAACATATGTTATTGGAAACAGGGCCACAGGGGGAACTTTGATTTTGGGGCACTAGGGACCAAATTGTCAGCCTCTTCTGGACATCTGTGGAATTCTCGAGGACTTAACCAGAGTGGTGCTGGCTTCCTTTGGCTCCCCCAACCCAGCAAGGTTTTTTGTTTGATGAAGACTTGGACGCTGGAAAATCCATTCAGAACACGAGCCAAGAATCAAGTTCAGTGGGAAGAGTGCACGAGGGGGAGCCAGTGGGCGGGCACGGACCCCGCTGGCACGTCTGTCTGGGGCCTGCCGACTTGCAGCTGTGCTGCGTGGGCCCGGTTTTGTGATAAGCTGGGTCTCTTGGTGGTAAGGGGCGAACTGCTTCATTTCTAGAACTTGAATCTGTTATCCACAGCACTAGCAGGTCCATTCCTTGCCCTTCCTACCCGCCCCACCCCCTCCCCACAATGGGAACAAAGTCCCCAGTCTCTGGAAAGTAATGCTAAGAAAACAAACACTACAAAGGCTGGTAACAGGGGGATATCTCTCTTGAATGTTTTTGGTGACCATCTAGGTTCAAGGAGGAGGGGTCCCCCAGCCATGAGAGCCAGCAGGGTCTCTTTGTAGTAGGCATCCGTGTGTTTGGCCAGATGTCCTCCCAGCGGAGGGCAGAGAGGGGAAGATAAAACAGAATTCTTATTAAAAATAAGTCCTGGGAGGGAGAAAAAACAAGACGGAGAAAGTGTGTCAAGTGGGACGGGAGACCAGGCGGTGCCATCTGATACGGATTAAGTGCTGATACAGTCAGCAGCGAGAAACTCGTGTCATGAGGAAGTGACCCTGCCCTTCAGAATGTGAACCAGCGACAACTGTCTGGGAGCAGATCTGCCTGAGTGCCACGTGCACAAGATGCCTGGTGGCAGACACAGCGCTAGTACTCCAGGCGAGGAGGAGGGGAAGGACCTCAGCCCCGGGAGGCCGGGGGCGTTCCTTCTGATTCTGCTTCACCTCTCCAGCCTCACTTTCCCCATCAGTAACACGGGGACGTTGACCAGATGACCTCTAAGCCACCCTCCAGCCCCAGATTCTGTCATCTGGTAGATAATCATCTCTCCTCTGAGGGTCTTCTAATGGAATGCAAGAAATAACCCCCGAGAGGCAGAAAGAGTTCCCCCATCATTGTCCTAAAGGTCAAAGGGAATGAAACCCTCAGTCAACGGTCAAAGTGTCACCTGGTCTTTCCACAGCATCCCTGGGTCTGTCCTCCTCCTGGGTTTTGCAGTGGCCACCAAAGCAAGTTAATTGTTTTCTGAACACGAGACATGGCATGTCTGTGGGTCTCTCTGTGCTTCCCCCATCCCAATCCCAAAAGTATTTTCTCACTCTAACTGGATGTAAAGGATCTTCGTTTTATTTTAAATTGCCAACTAATAGGGAGTTTAAGAGCAGATGTGTATGTGTGTGTGTGTGTGTGTGTGTGTGTGTTTAAGTATGTTCATCCTGTAGTTAAGGGTGGGTCGTTGAAAATGCTTGTGTTTTTGTTTTTCTATTTTTGGCGTCATCATGAGGTCAGCAGTATTTTGTACAGGGTGAGGCTGGATTCCAGTGGGAATGGAAGAGGAAGGTTCCACTGAGACAAAAAAAATCTCATACTAGGAGAATGGAAATGGGTAGGAAAGCATGACCAGGGAGGCTCCGTGGTGCAGGGGAGGGAGCATGGTGTTCAGAGTCAGTCAGACTCAGGTTTGAATCCTGGCTGTGATGTCTATGGGGCGTCGTTTCGGCTCTCACCACCATGCCCCCATGAAGGGTTAGTATATGAATTAAAGGTGTTGTAAAGTACCTGGCTCATGGTCTGGTATGGTGTAGGCAGCAAGTGAATGTCAATAAACTGTAGATGAGATGATCCTGATAAAAATATCCCACAGGAAGATTAGCAGGGCCTGGTGACTCGCCTGAGTTAGAAATTTAGTATAAGCCTTCAGGGTGTCTTTGATTTTGACCACCTGGGGGACTGGGATGGTCACAGTATTTAGATCGGACAGAAATAAGAAAGTTGGGTTGAAGTTGGAGATGTGGTTTGGCAGGGCGAGTACTGAGGTCAGTTCTGGACATGAGAGGCAGCACTGAAACATCCAGGTGGCAATGAAAGGAGGGCGGAAAAGGAAACGAGTACGAGAAATAAGAAAACTGGGCTGCTGAGACGCTGACTGACGCTGGGTCTGTTTGATCCATGAGTCTGATTTTCCAGCTTCACCTTCAAGTTGTTGGCTAACCCAAGATTGACCCAGCATGACCATCTTCTAAAATAAACCTTAGCTCCTCAAAAATGTGTTTCTCCAGCGAAGCATCTTCTGGACCTTGTTAGAAATGCAGAATCTTAGCTTATCCCTCAGACCTAACCCAATCGGAATCTGCATTTCAACAGTGTGATTTGTAAGCACTTGAGGGTTTGAGAAGCACCGTTCTAAAGCAGAGTGGCCAAACAAAGCATGGGCATCCCCTGGGAACTTGTTAGAAATCCAGATTCTCAGGTGCCTTCTCAGACTTCCTGAATTAGAAAGGCTGTGTTCTAACGAGTCCTTCAAGGGAATCCAATGCACTCTGGAGTGTGAGAATCGCGGCTCTCAGTCATGGAACAGTCAGATTGAGCCCCCTCCCCTCAGTGTGTAGCCCAGAACATGGGAGGGATTGGCTAAACCCTGAAAGTTAAATATGAGTCATTGTTCCATGCTGTTTCTCTCATCATTTTGCATTACACACAGCTGAAGGACTCTTTTCACTGAAGAAGGGCACAATGCGTAAAATTACAGACCAAGGGAGAGAAACTGTGGCTGTGGCTTAATCTTCACCATTTACCCATCAAAAGTTATTGAGCACAATTACAGGAGATCAGTCCTTAAATGTGCCATTGCCCCTGGGGGACGCTGTTAGTAAGACACACAGGGAAACCCGTCAGCGAAAGAAGGGCTCTCCCAAAGCCCCTTACAATGTGATTTTCACATCAAAATCTCTGTGGTCTTCATCTTCTGTGTTTCTAATCAATCCAATGGAAAGTTCCCTTTTTATGGGTTAGTTTCTGGAGTCACTTGCAGAAATGATGGTGGTTTACCACTTAGACTAGAATGTTTTTTCAAAAAGTTCAACTAGGGGCAGTAAAAATGTACCTCTTCTCATCAAAAATGTCTGGTTTTTCTGGTTGTTCCCTAGTTGTTATTCAAATCACTGTGATAACTTAAATAAGATTCCATTTCTGTGTTCTGTATACATGTAATGTACAAAAGTGGTTTTATTTTCAGCCTTGTAATAATAAAATTACCTTTATCTTCTGCAGTCAGTTATACTACATTACAACCAGGGGCATGCTGGTAAACCAGTTCAGAGTGTGGAAGGACACTGTTTGGAGTGTTTGTCCATTTCCATGCTGTGAATACTCCCTCCAGGGTTGATTTCAGGCTACCAACAGTTTAACAACCAGCTCCCCAAATTCCTACAAATTTTAACAATTGAGTCTTGCAAGCCAGTAGGAACTAGCTTGAGTACACCACAAACATCAGGGGACAAGTCACAATTTGTTGTTGGTGGTGGTGGATGTGTTTGAATTACTGTAGGTCCAATAATGGCTGAAACAAATAGTTTTGGGTGTTTTGTTGTAATGTAGAGATTTTTATTCAATCTTTTGTCATGTAGAGATTTTTATTAAAATTTAATTATCATAATGGAATATGATTTGAAACTATTCTATGAGACAAAGTTCTGTGCTCTTTTCAAGTCATTAAATACATTTATAACAACATATGGTGTTGCACAAGTGGTGAGTATATTTGATTTTAAAATACCCCTCATCCTGCAGTAAGGCATATGTAAAAACCATTCTTAGTTCTAGTATTTGAACCAAAGTGCAAAAAAGATATTTTGAAATGGTGTTTTTGGTTACTATTATTAAAATCTGACTTTCCTTACAGGTATTCAGGAAGGAACACAATGTACCAAATGTAAAAATAACTGGGCACTGAAGTTTTCTATCATACTGTTGTACATTTTGTGTGCCTTGCTCACAATCACAGTAGCCATTCTGGGATACAAAGGTAAGCACATTCCTTTTTCCTTCCTAATAGCGATTTTCCCTTCGTTAATTGAAGCCTGAGAAAACAAGTATGTTTGCAAGTATGAAGCATTTCATTAATGCCACTCAGAGGCAAAACTTAGAAACATCATAAACCCCATCTTCGTGTCTTGAGCTTCTTGCAGCTGTGGGTCTAAGAGGAGGGAAGCCGCCATCCCTTCTGAGTCGTGTCAGCAATAATAATGGTCCTCTGTGCGTTAAAAAGATTTTTCCTCTTGGTTGCTCTTCCCTACTTATTTGCAGATACTCCCTCTTCCTTCATCTCTTTTCATCTTATCTCCAAGAGGCCCTACAAAAGCCCTGGAGTCAGCACACAGAAAAACTGTATCGACAGAGGATAAGATCTCGGAGACAGGACTTCCTTCACCCAGGGACTGGCCGACTCATTCCCTTTTTTCTCCTCAGTGCATTCACTGTGGCCCCTGTTGTCCATGTAGCTCCATCAGAATATCGCCCTGCAGAAATTAAACCCAGAGGCGGCACCACCGCCTCAGCTCTACTTTATGGGACGTCAGGCATCCTTTCAATGTGTCCGGTTTAAGGTCAGTGGAGGATTTTTGCCTGAATCCTCCAGGCTTAGAGACAATGTATTGGTGGGTACCGCCCCCCTCCCCCGACCCTACCCCATTCCAGACTCCAGAGATAGAAGGTGTCCTGATTCAGAATCATGAACTACATAAACCTTTTTACAAACCTCAGAAAGCCTCACAAAGACATGTGAGAGAGACATGTCTGGTTTCAGCAAGAGGCAGACATGGGGTCTGCTTCTCCTCTGAACCTTCACTTCTCAGCTGTCTTTCCTCAGAGTTGACACATTCACAGCGGAGAACTCCCACACGGTCCCTTCTCTGATCCTGGCCCCTGAGGTTTGACCTGGGGACAGAAAGATTCAAAGGGAATTGCCTCCCACTTGAAGCTCCTCCCACTGCTCTCCCAGTGTTGAGTGGTTTCCTGAGAAAACTATGGACTGGAATGAGAATGGGCTTTGGAGCCCAACCGTCCACGTGCGAGTCTTGAGTCCACCATCTGTAACACAACTGGGAATGTTTATTAAGTGCTTGCTGGCGTGCCGGGCACCGTGCTAAGCCCTCTGCGTGGCTGTGTAACCTGGATATAAGTCATAACCTCTTTGAGTTTCTGACTTCTTATCTGTAAAGTGACAGTAATAATGCCACTCTTCAAGGTGACTGAGATGAGCAAAGTTGATGTCACTGAGCCACCTGTCCTAAGGTTGGTCCCAGTAGAGAGTGGCTAACTCTGTTTCTTGTTTCTTCATAACTGCAGTTTTACAGCTCTAGCCATTAGAATGGCAAAACGTGTTTAAAATACTCAGTATAGTCAAGGCTTGTTAAATCCACTTCTAAGGCTATATTTGTAGAAAATTATATGCATCCTGTAGTGTATTGACTGATGAATCTGGGCAATAGAAATCTGGAAAATTATCAGGTCATTTTATTTCAATTGTGATAAGTTAATCTAACCTAGGATTAACAGAGCAAGTGTTAAGAAAGACTATTAAATCATGGTAAGGGCTGGACAGAGGGGAGGGTAAGGGAAGGGAGGTAGCCTCGTGGGGAAAAGGAGGGTGTTTTATGTCCCAGGTAATTCAGCCTGGCTCTCTCTCTTTACTGGGTTATTTCAGTCATTACTCACTTCTCCATGACTTTTCCTAGTGAACTCAGATAAAAGAGATGCTTGAAATCAAACAGCCACTGAATAGGTATCTTTAGGGCTTAGCACCGTGTGATATCATGAAAGTAAAGAGAGATGAGAAAGGTTTGAAGAAATACCTCTGTATGATATTTTGTCATTTTTAACTCTGCAAGGAGATGAGGTCTAGGATCTTTATGCCTTCAGAATTATCCAGAAAGGTCCAAAGGAGGGAGCTTTGTTTATAAAGAACAGGTATTTCCTCCATTTTTATGACACTGGAAAGCCCTTCTTGGCTCTAGCGTCTGCTTGTGTTGGTCCGCTTGCCCGGAACACCTTTTCCTTGCTCTCCACCTCTCTCTTCAGGACTTTCCCTTCATGTCTCCCTTAGACACATGATCTGCAAGAAGCCGCTGAAAGCTGAGTTAGTGCCCTCCTGCTGGTCCCCACGGCATCTTTTTTCACCCTTAGCCCCTGTCATACTGTATCCTTATGGTCAGTGGGTCTCTCACCACCCAGACTGTAAGCACCATGAAGACAAGAGACTCTCTTTTATATATTGTAGCTCCCACTAGCACCCGGCCTCACGGTACTTACTAGGTACCCAGTAAAGTTTACTGAATGAACTAGTGAGAGGATGGGCGAAAGGGCGAATGGATGGGTGGGTAGATGGATGAATTATAGATCAGGGCTGAATTCTGTGCAGACAGTCAGTGCCCAGGGACTCAAAGCCCTACCTAGAGACTTAAAATCCTGAAGACCACCTTGCCTACTCTGGGGTGTATCTGGCCAGGGTGAAGGGGGAAGAGAGATTGAAGGAGTGAGACAGGAGTGGACAAGGTGACATTCTTGCCCCTCTTTCCCTCCATCAAGGCCCCCATCCTTCAGGCCTCTACTGACAAAAATAAGAGAATACGAAGTGCAATTCTGGTTTTCAAACAGCCTTAATGAATGAAACTTCTGATATTTTCCAGATGTCTTTTCTCTTTACTTAAACAGTGATTCCTCTTTCTTGCTGATAAGATTCTGGTGACCCAACATGGTAAGAGGCAGAAAGATAAGGTCTCCCTTCACACATCTCCCTTTGAAGTCTAGAGAAACTCTCTCCACTTAAAAAAAAAAGGAAGAAAGAGAAAAAAGAATATTCAGTGAAGGGAGAGGTTTCTCTGAAGGAGACGTTGGAAGGAAATAAAATAGAAACTCCTTTACTTATCAGTTAGCAAAAGCAACTCCATAGTGTTTTCCTCAAAACTGTTCTTTACGTCTCCTGGTTTGTCACTTGTGCAGCAACAAGTTAGGCTGTGACTCAAGTTCCTTCCAGAGAATCTGCACAAGTCAGAGGATTGCTGAGCGCTCGGTACGCCGGCTGTGGCTGTTCTTGGACGGTTACAGCTTGGTGCCCCCTCTGCCCTGGGCTTCTTATCATGTGTCTACGGAGCTTCCACGGCAGAAGCCACCTCCTGAGTTCAGTGAGTCCAGAACATTCCATGAACAGGAAAATCCTATTCTGTTGTCCTGCCCAGCAGGCATCCACCTTAAGATCAAAAAGACATCTGCATCTTTCTCATTAAGAACCTCTCCTGACTCCATGTTCCTAGTCAGGAGATGTCTGCCTTGCTGCTCAGCTCTGCCCAGGGAGCAGTCACAGCTGGATAGGCAGCCTTTCAGATGCGTCGGATCACACAGTGGAGCTGCCCTTAGAATCTAGGGCAACACCCTGTAACCAGGTCTTCTGTCTGCTTGTAATGAAACCTGAAATAGTGTTCAAGGTAGAAACGTCTTGAGTGCATTCCAAGGGAGCATAATTAGTATTACTGGGAGGCCTCAGGGACCAGTGTGTGTGTGGTGGGGGGTGTTTCCCACAACTGGACAGTGTGGACCCTCCTGAGCACGAGGCACTGGACCATGAGCCGTGTCTCTTGTATCCTCTGTGTCCGGCTCGGTAAACATCTGAGGTTGATGACTGTAAAGGGAAGATAAAGAAAACATAGCCCTTCCCATGAAGGGATTTTTCGTGGAAGAAGCCATATTTAGGGAAAAGAAATACTACTCAATGAGAGGAAATGTGGAGTTTCAGAGAAAGTGTGGATTTTGGAGTTAGACCTCCTGGCCTGGTATCCTATTTAGTCACTCACAAGCTGTGTGACTCTGGGCAAGTTACTGAACATCTCTGAGCCTCAACATTTTTCATCTGTAAAATAGCAGTCATGTGGTGCACCTTGCAAAGAACAGGCACTCAATCAACAGAGGCCCTTTTTATTGCCATTCAGACAAACGTTCCACTGGTGTGGGATCAAGTCATCAGGGAAGGCTTAGTTAGCATGGTGGGCTGGTGAGATTTGGAGCAGACCTTAAAGGATGTTGGAATCAAGACAAGGGAGGAGGAGGAGGAAGTAGCGCAGGCCAAGGGGTGATGCCAAAGTGCTTTTATAGAAAAGGTATTATTGTCAGATTATCCTGGAGAACTGGGCTTAGGGTCCTTGAAGGAGGGGGCCCCACTTCAGGTATAACACCAAAAGCCGTGATGTTCTCAAGGAAACACTTTCCAGTAAAGGGAGCCTGTGAGAAAACAGACTGCTCGTGACCCTTCTGTGTTTCATGTTTGTTTTCCTCATGGGAGGGCCATCTCCAAGCAGAGGTCTACCTCCAAAGACAGGGAGTTTCTCCGGTGAGGGAGGATGGCTCTGCCACTGTTTTCTTGAGAATTTGTGCTAATGAGTTAAGAGTAAAAGCCAGCGAAAATGCTGTGTGCTATTACAGCAAGTGTTACTCCTGGATCTCCATCGGTCTGGAATTTTTATGCAGTAGCAAGTTGCCAGCTTTGCAGTCCCAAAGTTTGCAGCTTTCTACCCAGATCCTTAAACACAGACACACACACCACAGTGCATGCCCCCAGTTCATTAGCCCTTGTGGGCACCGAGTTTCCTAGCACCAAAGAGAAACCCAACAGGTTTTTTCTTGATGAATGTATGTATTCCTCCCACTCTTCCCAAACCTGAATTATCTTCCCATGATAATTCTGTGTTTTTAAGAAGTAAAATGGAAGAAAAACTAGAGAGGGTAGAAAAGGACTGCCTGCCAGCGTATTCTGAGGTTTCTTTGGCTTCCAGGAAAAAAGGGCAGGACTTCAGATCCTGTGTGTGGTTTGAGGACAGACTGAGGCATGTGTTTTGATTTGAGGATCAAAACTGAAGCTCAAGTTGTAAACATTCTGTATTTTATTTTTTTCTAAGTGTAGCTTTGCTAAAATGCAGATGAAACATTTTGTTCTTGAGAGTTTCCAGGGATCTAGGAATATGCATGCCTATCAAACGACCCTCAGGTGCAATTATAACTGTACCTCTGTGTGTCTGTATCGTCATTTTTTAAAAAAGCGGTCATTATTCAACTCAATGCCATGCTCATTGCCAGTCCTGAGGTTTCCCTGGGTAGGTTTGTTTGCATAACCTCTACTCAGCCGATTTTTCCCACAGGCCTCGGTAGCTAGCAGGCAGTCTCACTGATTTAAGTAAGCGACTTCATAAATAAAAGTGTGATAAACACCCTACTACGTGCCACACACTGAGCTAAGAGCTGGAGATAAAACCAACACAGGTTCTCCTGCCCTGAGGGGCCTCAGAGTAGAGAAGCCATGACAGCCCAGGGACTGAGTCCTGTAACAGGGAGAGAGGCCCCTCGAGGCCCTTCAGCAAAGGTTTCCTACAGGACGGGGCGCGCTGAGCCTTGCAGGGCGAGGAGGGCTTAAACTGGGGAAGAGGCCGGGGAGGAGCCTTCTGGGCGGGGAGAACCACACAGGGAAAGGCTGGGGGGAGAAAGAGCATCTGGTGTGAGGCACACAGGTCGTTATGGCCAGACTGCTTCTCCAGGGAGGGTGGGTCACTTCAGGTCACGCAGACACGTGGGGATGGACTCCTGCTTCCCGCTGGAAGCCAGGAGAATCTTCTTACATAGTCCTGCGTGGGTGGAACACTGGATGAATAAAAGAGACGGGATCCACTGGCTCCCAAGTCATAGACAAAGCATACTCATGCTTGAAAAAAAAATGAGTCGCTCTTTTAAAAAAGCTGTGGATACCAAGAAGGATGATCAGACTTCGTCCCAAGCTGCTAGAGGCTGGATCTCGCAAAAGTCACTTCCGGAGAAAACCACTCTTATTAGACACTTTATATTTTATTTCTATTGTTTCACTTTATGTACTTTATTTTTTTCTATCTTTATTTTTTATCGAAGTGTTGCTGACCCACAATCTTATTTTAGTCTCAGGTGTATAACATAGTGACTCAGGATTTTTATAGATTATATTCCATTTAAAGTTACTACAAAATAATGGCTCTATCTCCCTGTGCTGTGCATTATGTCCCTTGCTTATTCTTTACATAGTAGTTTGTATCTCTTAATCCCCTCCCTGTCTTGCTCCTCCCTGCCTCCCTGTCCCCACCGGTAATCACTGGTTTGTTCTCTACATCTGTGAGTCTGTTTCTCTTTTGTTATATATATTTGTTGTATTTTTTAGATTCCAAATATAAATTGTAACATACAGTATGCATCCTTCTCTGTCTTATTTCACTATGCATAATACCCTAGGTTCATCCATGTTCTTACAAATGGCAGAATTTCATTCTTTTTATGGCAGTTTTCCACTGTATATATATGCCACAGCTTCTTTATCTATTCTTCTGTTGATGGACACTTAGGTTGATTCCACATCCTGGCTATTGTAAATAATGCTGCTATGAACATTGGGGTACATGTATCTTTTCAAATTAGTGTTTTTCATTTTCTTTGGCTATATACCCAGGACTAGAATTGTTGGATAAAAAGTAGTTCTATTTTTAGTTTTTTTGAGGAACCTCTATACTGTTTTCCATCGTGGTTGTGCCAATTTACACTTTCATCAGCAATATACTAGGGTTCCTTTTCTCCACATCCTCGCCAACATTTGTCATTTGTAGACTTTGATGACAGCCGTTCTGACAGGTGTAAGGTGATATCTCATTGTGGTTTTGATTTGCATTTCTCTGATTGATAATTAGTGAGGTTGAGCATTTTCTCATTTTCTCTGTATCTTCTTTGGAAAAATGTCTATTCAGGTCCTCTGCCCATTTTTTAAATGTTTGTTTGTTGTTTTGATATTCAGATGTATGAGTGGTTTACATATTTTGAATATTAACCCCGATGGTTCATATCATTTACATATATTTTCTCTCATTTAGTAGGTTGTCTTTTCATTTTGTCAGTGGTTTCATTTGCTGTGCAAAAGTTTTTAAGTTTAATTAGGTCCCATTTGTTTATTTTTGCTTTTGTTTCTTTTGCCTTAGAAGACAATTCCTAGACATTTTAGAACGATAAACTTAAGTCCATAACCATAGAGAATCACTGCCTTCTGAGAATGAAAAAGAACAGTGGCTTTAATTTAACACTGCATCACTGACTTTCCTTATCATACACCATCAGGAAAATGCTGAAAAAAGTCTTCTTAGTAAATTATTATTTGGAAACCTTACTTAGGCATTTTTTTTTGCGAACTGATAAAGTACAGATTCACATGTCACTAAGGAGAAGCAGATTTTCAACCTTCTGTGGTGAACTCATGACAGCAAATACACTTGACTTTGCATCCCTTTTACGACTTTATGCATAGACTTGAGCTAGATGTTCTTTGCTGTGGAATCTCCTTCCAGATAAGTGAATCACACCTGCCAAGAATGGAAGGGAGTCTGATGAATGATGAAATTTTATAAATAATTGTTAAACCTCCACCTGTGGAAATTAATATAAAAAATAACACAGATTGGGGACTTCTGCAATACAAAAAATTTGAAATGAATGCCAAACAGTTTCTAAAACCTTCAAGACAGTACAGAACCACGAGGACAGTTAAGAACATACAGTTCTCAACCAAGTAAACTACCACCGGGGTTTACGACAAGTATGTTACACATTTTTCTAAAAGAATGGCATCTTCTCTGTATTTGATTTCATTTATACTTTCTGTTTCACTCTGTTTCCCTTATTCTGTAATGAAATGATCTGTTGTTGAAACTGAAAGATAAAATATGAGCAGGTATGTGTATTAATGCATTGATTTCCAAATCTTAGTTGTAGAGAAAATGGACAATGTTACAGGCGGCATGGAGACATCTCGCCAAACCTATGATGACAAGCTCACAGCAGTGGAGAGCGACCTGAAAAAATTAGGTAATCTGCAATGAGAGTGAATTATTAAGTTGGATCCCCTAACTCTACTTTGTATAAATAACCACAGCTTTTTAAATGACATTGTTATCAACTCACATTCACCCAGAAAGACATTAACACAACTGTCACCCAGATTTGAGTGAAGTGGCAATCAGTGTGTTAAACTTTCATGCTGTGCATTGAATCTCTTCTCATGATTTAACTCAAAGACTTTAAAATTTAAAAGTTAAGGCTAATTTTGGAGTTGAAATCCCATCCCCCTTCCAAAACACTGTTTTGTGCCAATTAACACCTAAAGACCAATCCTGATCAAAAAAGAACCACAAATACCCTTTATTAAAGGCTCTTTTATAAAATGCCCAGTAAATTTCTATTTGAAATATTTTAAACTGCATTGAAGAGTAGGAGTTAATTTTTAAAAATAAAAGATTCAAGCCTATTCTTATCCCATGATTTTTTTTCATTGTTTTAAAAAGGAATTTTGGTGAATTTAATAAACAGTAGGTTATTTTTTTTTTTGACACCCTGCCCAGTGCTCTAGAAGCTGGTAAGTTCCCCCTCCTTCTCTGAGAAAAGTGTTCACCCAAGTTAGTCCGTCCTAGTACTCAGCACCGTTTCCAACTTCTGAGGACCGGGTTTTAACAGGGATGTGGATTCCAGGCAGAATAGTCTGCGTATCCCACAAGTTTTATATCTGAAATTGAGTGCATTCCAGTTAAGTCTCTTTGGGATCTGTAACCTCACCCGAGCACTTCTCCATCCCACTCCTCTGAGTAACACGCATGTCTTATTCCAGGGGACCAGACTGGGAAGAAAGCTCTAAGCACCAACTCAGAACTCTCCACCTTCAGATCGGACATTCTAGATCTTCGTCAGCAGCTTCGCGAGATTACAGAGAAGACCAGCAAGAACAAAGATACGCTGGAGAAGCTGCAGGCAAGCGGGGATGCACTGGTGGACCGGCAGAGTCAACTGAAAGAAACTTTGGAGAATAACTCTTTCCTCATCACCACTGTAAACAAAACCCTCCAGGCGTATAACGGCTACGTCACGGACCTGCAGCAAGACACGAGCGCACTGCAGGGCAGCCTGCAGACCCAGATGTATTCTCACAGCGTGGTCGTCATGAACCTCAACAACCTGAACCTGACCCAGGTACAGCAGAGGGACCTCATCACGAACCTGCAGCGCTCCGTGGACGACACGAGCCAGGCGATCCAGCGAATCAAGAACGACTTCCAAAACCTGCAGCAGGTTTTCTTTCAAGCCAAGAAGGACACGGATTGGCTGAAGGAGAAAGTGCAGAGCTTGCAGACGCTGGCTGCCAATAACTCTGCCTTGGCCAAAGCCAACAACGACACCCTGGAGGATATGAATGGCCAGCTCAGCTCATTCGCAGGGCAGATGGACAACATCACCACGGCCTCCCAAGCCAATGAGCAGAACCTGAAAGACCTGCAGGAGGTACACAGGGATGCGGAGAACAGAACGGCTGTCAAGTTCAGCCAGCTGGAGGAGCGATTCCAGGTCTTCGAGTCGGATATTGTGAACATCATCAGCAACATTAGCTACACGGCCCACCACCTGCGGACGCTGACCAGCAACCTGAATGAAGTCAGGACCACGTGCACAGATACTCTGACCAAACACACGGATGATCTGACTTCCTTGAATAACACGCTGGCCAACATCCGTTTGGATTCTGTTTCTCTCAGGATGCAGCAAGATATGATGAGGTCAAGGTTAGACACTGAAGTGGCCAACTTGTCAGTGATTATGGAAGAAATGAAGCTGGTAGATTCCAAGCACGGTCAGCTCATCAAGAATTTTACGATACTACAAGGTAAGTGAGAATTCTGAATTTACATTTCTATTAGTTATCTACGGCTGTATAACAAATAACCCTAAAACTCATGGCATTTGAAATAACAAACATTTATTATCTCATAGTTTCTGTGGATCAGGGATTCAAGACGGCTTAGCTGGGTAATTCTGGCTCAGTGTCTCTCATGAGGTTATAGTTAAGATATTGGCCAGGGCTGTAGTCATCAGAAGCCTTCACAGGGGCAGAGGATTTGGTCCAAGATGGCTCACTCACATGGCTCTTGGCTTGTTGACTGTTGGCAGGAAGCCTTGATTCCTCACCAGGTGAAATCACTTGAGTGTCCTCACAGCATGGAAGCTGGCTGCCTCCAGAGCAAGCAATTCAAGAGAAAGAGCAGGAAGGAAGCCTTTCATGACCAAGCCTCAGAAGTCACATACCATCCCTTCCATCATAGTCTCTTCTTTAGAAACAAGTCACTAAGTCCATCCCATCCCAAGGGGAGGGGAACTAAGCTCCATGTCTTGAAAGGAAGTGGAACTAAGAAATTGTGGACAGTGCTCAGAGGCATGTCATTAAATATTTGTTGGATAAAAGGTTGGTTAATTTGGATTTCCCCAGTGCCTAGCTATTTCAATGCCATTATAAATTCGGCTCCTTTGGAAGGAAGATTAAGTTTTGTGTGTCATGGAGTTACCATTAAGAGATTCCTATTTCCAAGTATCAGAGCAGATGGATGGTTGGTCATCACAGTAACTGTAAGGCCATGACTTACAGAATCTGAGTTTTACCCACATCCTGGTCATCCCTATAAATTGAAAGTCTGTATCAGATGAAGTCTACTTGTCAAGCTTTGCAGCAACCACGTATGAATAGTCCTTTCAGTCATGAACTGTTTCACAGGCTTTAAGTTGCACGTGCCGTCTGGAAGCTGCTATACTCAGCACTCTAGGGTATATAGAGAAGACCAGATGACCTTTGCCCTCGGGTAGCTTAAAATCAAGAGAATTTTAGGGCATCAAGGGCTACAAGCAAATGTAATCCTGATTTTCAAAAAGGCGATATGGGTAGATTCTACACACTATGTAGAATGGGGAATTTGTCTTCAAGCCCAAAAATATTTGAGGAGAGGTTATTAAAAGGATAACTTTTGAGCTTTCAGGAAAGCAATCATCATCAGAATGGGGTCACGAAGAATAAGGCAGGTGAACCTAATCTTATTTCCTCGCATTAACACAGTTATTTTATCATTTAAACTAGAAGAATGAAAAAATAGCATATTTCGATTTCACCAAGGCACTTGGCCGTGATACCCTCAAGAACAAGATGGAGCAATCACTGCTGGATTAGACCTAGTTGGATGGGTTTATTGGCTGCATTAGTTTTCTGTGCTGTATAGCAAATTACTACCAACTCAGCAGCTTCCAGCACCCACTTCTCATCTCACAGTCTCTGTGGTCAGGAATCTGGGCACGGCTTAGATGTACCCTTTGCTCAGGGTCTCACCAGGCTGCAGTCTCAGTGAGGGCCAGTGGTTGCATCAGAGGCTTGACTGGGGACCGATCCATTTCCACACTCCCTCAGGTTCTTGGCAGGATCCATCTGTTTGTAATCTGGATTTAAGACTGAGGTTCCTGTTTTCTTTTTGTTGTCAGTTTCTAAAGGCCACCTCCAGTCCCTTGTCATGTGGCCATCTCAAAACACCGTACCTTCTTCAAAGCAAGCAAGAGAGTCTCTCTCACTCCAGACTGCAAAGACAGAGTCTTATCGAGTGTAACCTAGTCAAGGGAGTGACTAGGTCACATCCTATCACCTTTGCCATATCCTATTGACTGGAAGCAAGTTACAGGTTCCATACTTAAGGGGAAGGGATCACAAGGACATGAGTCA